TACATTGGACTCAAACCGTCAGACAGGCTTGGTTGTCCCTATATGTCTTTACAGTATTCTTGGACGAAAAAAAATATTACCGTTGACACCTTATACTGATGTCGCTCGTCGTATACCGCAGGATTGCAGTTCTACGGAAACTGTACGCGCATGTATTTGCAGTAAAATATACTTTGTAATAACGTTAAAGTGAAGTTTTGTCGAGATAGATGACGTCCCAGATATGTAAAAATTTTTCTAGGATAGTTTGACTTGTGGTGACGTAAGTGATCTAGAAGATTAGAATCGTTTATTTTATATGTATTCATATACACATTCTTAAGGCACGTCATATTTTTTTAACTGAACTGCAGTAATTTAATTTTATTTCATTTTTATCCAAAAATACAAACCTTTATGTACAATGTGCAATAAAAATAACTCCTTGTCGGTTTTCTATATGTAGCAGAAGAACAGCTATAATAACCACTGTTTCAGAAGATAACGGTGTTCTGTCAATTCTTGTTCCTTGTGGTGGTATATTAGAAACTGTAGCAATAAAATATATAGCTCATAAGATTGAACGAGTTCTTGCTAAATGAGGGCTGAAAACTGATGAGTCACCAGAGCAATATTTCTAGCAAATGGAAACTGTACCACGTTTTTCTGCCCGCGAATGTTTGATCATATACGAATAAGCCTAAAAAACTTCATTAATGAATTTATCAGTGATCAGTTTTCCGTATGTGGCGTGTGAAGTTGCTTTTATGTTATTTGATGTTTTTGTCCGTTTTTGAGATTGCTTGCCCTGAAACAGGATTTTAACGTTCTTTCCTGAAGAAGATAATGCAAAAATTTTGATAGCTTGTTACAAACCCAGAATAAACTTTTTTCTGACCTGAATTTCGGTTGCGTGAATGCTGCTACCTCAAGATATACCTATATTTTGCACCTTTACTAGTCAGCATCCTGCTCTCCTTAAATCATTCTGAGCAAAAACTTTGCAGCAGTATCTCCTTTAGGAAAAGCTGTCAGCAGAAGAAATAAACTCCTTATAGTCACACCCTCCACTTTTCACCTTTCGCGTGACGCAAAAGATCCGTAAAAATTCCAAATGAGTTAGAAAAATTACGGCTTCTTCTCACGAAATTCTTTTTTCGTACTTAATGGACTATAGTGAACACAAGACTCTAGAAACACGAGTACTTGGAGTGTATATTTTTGGAATTTCCAATTCTGATCTAGAAGATAGAAGATATCGTCAATACTTCACCTATAGGATACCTCATACACTGTCTATTCAAATGCTAACAACAATCTTACGTGAGTGGTCCGTTGTCAATGAGCTTAACTTTTATGTTTATAAATTTTACTTGTTGTCATTCACTATAAAAAATGCAACCTATTTTGAATATAAAATTAATGAATTCACTCTAGAGAGTGCCTAGTCACGAACTTTGGTGTATAGTTTAACATACATCGCGGCCGTAAGGAGCATGGACAGCAAACGGTGAATAAAGCTGCAAGAGTCATAGCAAAAAATTGCAATTTGCTCATCAGTGTCCAAGCTTTCAAGATACCTTACCCTATTTCACGAGTATCCATCACGGTAGAATGACAGCTGATTATCTGGTATCTCAAAATTCCCCATATCCGCAAAGGATACGTAATTCTGACGGATTCGTCATGGCCAGGTTGACAGATCCGTATTTTGTTTTGGTTTTCTGTTCGCTACAGATCCATTCTGTAATCAGCTCTTTTATTTAGAAAAGTTCATTTGCACACAAAAAACAAAACACCACAGACAAGTTGGCCTAGCTTTCTACCCGATTCATTATTGTCAACATTGCAGACTAACACAAAAATGTCACTTGATGATCAGCTGTTTACCCGATAGACGTCAAAACGTGATGGATACTCGTGAAATACGGTATATACCTTCCGTTTATCTCTAGGTTAGAACAATATTATCTCTAGGTTAGAACATTATTAACATTTGGATTCCATATCGCATTTACTAAAAACAGATGATAAAGCGAGTGCAATATTGAGAGTACGTCCTGAGAGGGAGAAAGTAAGTTTTAAATAGATTGCTTGGATTTTATAAATATCAAGAATTCGGCATCAACTCTTAAAAGCTCATCCATAGCTTCATAGATGGTCTAGATTTGCTATTTCAAATTGATTTTAATGTTCCTGTAGTTACGTTGCGCTCGTCTGCTGCTTTAGGGTCGCAGAGATGGAATAGTAACGTAGGAATCAATTCACCTTTGTATCTAGCTGTCAGAAATTTCAATGCTATTGCTGACAGTTGTGATATGCATACTAATTCCTTAAGTATTAATTTATTCTGTCATACTGAGGCGTACAGCTATATGTTGTTCCGTATTGTGTTAATTAGTACAGGGGTCGCTTTAAATTGACAAAATTGAAAAAATGGGGGGTTTAAAATAAAGTTTTACGTGCAACACCTTGTTCAAATATTGGTTATCTCTAAAAAGTGCTATCGAATAAAGTTGTATTTTCCAAGTGGAATACCCTATATATTTTCAATAAGAATGATGGATATTTTCTTATAAAACCTAATGTACATTGACTCATTTGACACATTTCTGGATAATTTTTATCGGACCACTAAACTTTAATGCTGGAAAGCTCTCGAACAAGAAACTCTAGGCAGAATGAATCCTTATAACAGTAATTGTATTTTTTTTACAACTGGGAGTAGTTGCTCTTATTGTACCACTTTTTACCATTAACCTTTACACACCTTATACACCACATTACTATATTTATTGTTGAAAGGTTCGACTGAGGTTACTAAAAGACTAAAATGACTCCCAAAAGATCCATCTATCGAAATGAGCAAGTTATTATAATAATAATAATAATCCGACTTTATTTATAAAAAGACCAAGAGTCGTTAAAAAAAGCCTTTAACTAAAAAAGCCCAACCTTAACGTAGCATTCATCAAATATCTAAATATGAGCCAAAAAGGGTGAATGTGCACCAGTTTTCATACGCCTATAGAAGATGGTGAAGGCGCATATTTTGCAACATGGAAATATTCTGCACCAGGCAAAGAATTCTGAGTGAATTTTACCTGAAATGAGATTGATACAGGGTGTCCCAGATTCACTTCTCCATACAGGGATCTCCTTCCCTGTTATATCTACAGCAAAGGTTAAATGGGAAAAGTTTTAGAGGAAACTTAGTGCTTTCGATAGCCGGCTGCAGATCTACGACCGGTCAATTGGTTTTGGAAATATTAGCGAAAGACCGAAAATAACGGTTTTTGCCAGTACATCCAAAACTGTTGATTTGACAGCTGTTGAACTGTGACTTATGTTTAAGAACTCTCACTGGACCACAAGACATGATTTACAAAATCGGAATTTTCATTAGACTTCTTAGTTTACCACTCACAGAAGCGCAATAGCCTTGGAAAATCAGTTTCCTTAAGTCCTTGAACTATTGTAGGTTTGTGTGGATGGTACTTATTCTTATTTAACCCTCTATGTACTCGTACTGTTGATTTCGACACACCAATTTCTAGGGATCTCGTTGGCAGCTTGTAAAATGTTTCTGTCGCGATTTTCATTTTCAATATTGTATCCGCTTCTAGGTTGTTCGATTTAGGCCCGTATCGTCAGTCGTCCCTACAATTGTAGGGCGCCTGTATGGCCTCCTTGATTGTCATACTCCTTTCTCTCCTTCAAAAACTTTTAGATTACACTTGTCCCGTGTCAGCGTCAGTGCTCTCCTATTGTGAAGATATGTTTTCTTTTTAAATTGTAGGAAATGTCAGACTGATAAAACATGATATAACTCAAAAGCAAGCACAATTTGATGCAAATAGATGTTTGTGTCATAACCTCAAAATAGAGTTCTGACACGGAGAAGTAGAAAACTATGACAATCAAGGAGGCCATAAAGGCGCCCTACAATTGTAGGGACGACTAACGATACGGGCCTAAATTAACTACTATGTTTCTAAATTATGTTTTATGAGTCTGAGGTCGCTCGAGGTACATCTCCAAGTACCTTGCAGAGGTAATGTCTGTTGAAAAAAAAAATATATTTTCTGACAAATAAATCATGGCCTCCTTAAAAAAAATAATACATACCATTACGTGTGATGATGTTTCTTTAATAGTCAAATCTTTTATGCACTTGTGCGACATCACTAGGCTGGAAATTTCAAGCTCTTTTCAAAAATCGAAAAATCTAATATGACGGCCATAAGAAAAATGAAAGTTGAGGCAGGTTGCGGTAAAACAAAAGACGAATGAGATATGTAGTACACGCTATTCTGTTTATTTTAAAAGAATGTCCAAATAATGTCACATTTTGTCGAATTAACCGTTTTGATTTTACTGGTAAAAAACAAAAATTCGACATTTTAGGTTATTCGCCGACATCTCCAAAACCAACTGACCGATCGTATATCTGAAGCCGGCTATCGAATGCACTATGTTTCCTCGAAAGCTTTCCCCATTTAACCTTTGCTGTAGGTGTAACAGGAGCCGAGATCCTATAGAGAAGCTAATCTGGGACACACTGTATGTTAAATCCAAGATAATATTGTGGATCTTTATTTGCTACTTGCTACTTACTCTAGGGAAGTTACGATTTCCTATAAATTAATATTCAGATGATATTATCTACATCCTTCTGGATTATTCATGTACACCAAACATCTTTTTAAAAAATTGTTAGCTCATCGTTACGCTTCCTGGAGATTATGTTAGGTATAATTTCAATATTTTTTTAAGCAAAATATGCTAAGATGCCTTGGTAAAAAATTCATGAATGCTTTCACGATCATCAAGTTGGAAAAAATAACCGTAGTATCAAATATGCCTCATGCCATTTGATCGAAAACAATTGTACGTAAACATAAAGGACAGTATCTCGAAAGTGCTTGTTTGGACTTGATATAGTTTGCCTCTGTGGCACTTCACCAATCCATAGATTAGACAAAATAAGGTTTCTAAACAATATTTTCTGTTTGTTGCAGATACTACTGGAAAAATGTTGGATCCATATTCAGTTATCGAAGAGCCCAACGATCATATCGTATCAAATATAATACGTCGATATATCATATTACAAAGACCAAAGTAACCATACTTATTGTAGAATTTTAACAAATTGGCAAATTCATATACAACGTTCTATGTAAATAGATTGTAGTCCCTATATTTGGTTGATACTTTGGAAGTTATTTTGAGAGTTCTTTATCTGTTAGATAGATTACAAATAAGTACGAGTCTACTTACTTGTAGTTCAATATAATTGAAAAGTTCACAATTCTAGTAATCATTTTAATATTTGATGGCTGTGGCTCTGTGATGAAAGGAATAGTTGCTATCGTTCTAAAGAAATTGTATCTATCTGGTGTACATTTTTGATGAACTTTGCTATATTATTAGCAACAATGATTGATACCTTTTTTTTTTTTGAAACCTACAATGTTTTATGAAATTATGCCAACCAGCGGTCTGAGTTGTATCGACGAAATACCAATTAGTTTTCTGTGAGGATTGTAGTACTATTTAATTTACAGTATAGGCCATCTAGTGTTTGAAATGTGAAGTTAACACCAGAAACTAAAATCTCATTATTACTTGTCACAAGAGTAATTTTGGGTTTGACAATTTACGAATCAGGACCATCCGATACTTTTTAGGTCTGCCCAGCTGAGCACTTATGCCGAAAAATAATATTTTCATACAAAACGCACACTCACACTCGAGCGACACTGCTCATCGGCAGTAGATCAGGCACACGGAACCTTGCTATAACAATCCAACTGTAAAGAACCTACAAGCAGATAGCGAGTCCATAAACAAATATAACAAAGCAGTTCTTAATGCCAAAGACTAGCATGATGTAAATGTTAGGCACAAGATAATGGCGCAGCGCAATTGCAGTTGGTCTTTCTGGACGCTGGCCGAGCATATTGTAACCGACTCAAAAGCTAGGGTGGAAGTGCTTTCCAAAATCATTGCCGCCAAAGCCCTCCAACGCCCAAGTGCTGTCGGTTCAAAGTGTCCTTACAATATGCGGGAAGTAACCTTAAGGCAAAAGACCGTAAGACGGGTGCTCTTGTCGCTCGACATCAACAACGCTTCTGGCCCGAACTTGACTTCTAAGGTTGTACTGAAGTACACCACTCTGTAAAAGGCACAGATAAGACCTAGCTTCGAGTACTACTCACATGTTTGGGATGGCGCCGCCACGGCTACATTATCGACCCTTTCCCACCGACGGGCCGTCAGCGATCTAGCTCTTTTCTGTTGTTGCGCCAATGGGCTTTGCTCCAAAGAGCTCTCCTCGATGATGGCACCACGCGATGTGCCTGCCAGATAGACCAGTCTGACTTCGGCCTCTCAGCCTAATAGTATCGAACTTTGTACATCTAGAACTGGTCAACACGACTGCTCCTTTGTTCCAGTTCAACTAACCTTGGGCAGTTCAAAAATAGGTTTAACAAAGATTTTTTAAGCTCCTCATAACAGCCGCGGTGCTCTGGTATTTAGGCTTCTGCTTGCGCGGTTGTTTCGGTATTTATAAAAAGAACTTCCGTCTCGAAGGCTATGTGAATTGACATAGATTTTGAGGATCACGCGTCGTCGAGAAGGATCCACTGCATCTACATACAGCAACTGTTGCGATTTTTGGTCCGCTTTTTTTTTTCGAAAATAAGAAGGAGCTTCCGATTTAGTTAATGACAAGCGTTAGTGTGTCGTGCTTGGCTGATTTTTGTTCCCAAAACTTGAAATTATTAGCGTAACAACAAGGGCTCGCGACTTGCCACACATACGTAACAATCTCGAACTTTAGTTTAGATGTTGTTTTCGTGGACCGAAATTCCGATGTCAACTGACCGCCTCCAAGCTGCGGCTTGAACACGCTGGACTATATTCTGTGGGAAGTCAGTAAGCACAAATGTTATATTCAGCGTCCAGGGACAATAGAGGTCTTGTTTCTGTTTTCTAGCCGGTTTCAATTTTAAATAGAAAATGGCCCACTCTATACGTATCTACTTAAATAAAAACTAGGAATTACTTTGTTTAGATCATTTTCCTCCTTTTAAAAAGAGTCCATTCTGATGTTGATGGCATTTTACAAATCCGATACCTTATCCGGTAAATAGATCTATACCATTGTCAAACGGAGAAACCTAAACTAGTCGAGAATGGATCCCTCGAGATTGCCACTACGAGATTGTCTACATACCCTAACATTTAACTGAATGGTTTTTCATAAAACCTTTTTATTTTCCTCTCTATTCATATATACAAAAAGTTGAAATATGTTTTCCTTCGGTGATGGTATTATGGCTCAACTGGCATATAAAGACTCTCAAAGTAAACTCATTGGAGGAGGGCTTGAGCAATAGTCCATACCATTTGAAAAATCGACCTCGACGACGGGAAAAAACATAAACATTGACCATATTATCATTTGCAGATTAAACAACGATGCTCTAAGGTATATGTGGTTGTCTTTGTGGAATTAGATTTCCATTGTACGGTGTCTCGTGTTATAACCTACGCTTACCTACCATCGCTAGGTCTCTGTCAATGCTTTAAGCGTACATATCTAAGAACTAGCTCTGCTGTGTGATCGATGATACTTTATTCATTGTGATTCTGTCCTAAGAATGTGCTATTACTATCGCGGCATGAATCACGCAGTTATTTATACCCTGTATATTTGTATGGCTGCTGCGCAAATCATGTACAGGGTGTTTGGATATTAAGCTTGTACTAAAATGCTCATGCAATATGCTGTTAATCCCGTTTTAATGCTGATATGAGCCCACTGAATAAACTTTTGATGTATCCAGTGAATTAAAAAGTGTACCTACTAATTTTGTACAATTTTTGAATTTCAATTGCTTTCAATTAGATAAACACATTTTCTGTGTTTACCATTATTCTGGTTCATAATATTCCAGCTGGTAGTACTTGCTGAACTAAGAAAAAAAGTTCATGTAAACTTATGTATTCTGTGGTTAACTTGCTAGGTTACAACCTGTCCAAATATATTATTCTAATATTTTTAGTTTATCTTCAATTACTTGAGTAAATTAAATGAAACTGTGAATCAACGGAAAGCACTTAGGGACTAAGTCCGTATTGGTACCATCCAACGAATGCAGACTAGGTAGAAGGAGCCAATCAAGGAGCTGTTTATCTCCTCATTCTCATAGTCTGTAGTGAGGATCAAAGTTCATACACAACTGCACTTACATAATTTAATTTTGTGATAGTCCCATCATTATTTTTTAAAAGTGCGAGTGTTTGTAGATAATTGTGGTGTTAGACAATTTGCAAGGAGCAGCACAAGCCTAATGAAGGTAGATGTCTCCACCGGTAAGTATTATTATTGTGTTGATAAAATGCTGCCACTTTGTTAGGCATTCGTAGTCAAATGAGTCAAAAGCATGCACTAAAGCTTTGCAACTTTGGCGGAAAACGAAGAAACGTAAGCATATAGACTCCTAATCGATTGGAGTTTGTTGGTTAGATTCAATTGAAATAGCCTATCGGTGACTATCAAATTTCAACTGAGTATTTTTAATTAAGCACGCTACTGGTTTCTTCATAAGTGGAGTCAGAACATTTTCGGGCCCAAAAGTATTTCATTCTTGTTGGAAACCAGAAAAATTTGACAAATAATGAGACACTCAGAATGCAAACAGAAATGTGGGAATACCCTTGGACCGCTCTAGATTTATTCATCAGAGCACAAAAAATCCACTGTCTATAAATAAAGCATATCTACTATACAAATACAGGAATATATTTGACTCGATATGGATCAAAATCTGCCAGTTCTATTGTTTTTACCGATGACTACAAGCTACAAACTACTCATCAACAGGCAGACGAATTTATATGTTCGTCTTAAAGTTACCCACAGAGAAGCCAGTAGCGCACTTGGTTAACAGCCGGAATACTCTTTTAAAATTTAATAGTGCCGCCCCTGGGATGATTCAGTTGGTTATAACCATAAGAAATTGAGTGCCCAAATACCCACAGTTGATTAACGTATTTTGATCTAAATCACCCAAGTAATTCAAAATCAATCAGATCAAAAATATTCATATAATATCAGCTTAAAAAGATCTATCAGCTTATATATTCAAGTCATCGCTGGTTGTCAGAGCGGACCGTGGGACCGTAGCTCTTGAGTCATAGTGTCAGTTTTTAAATCTGGCAGGACTGGTAACCCAGAGAACAGACAATTTTAAAGGAAAAATGGAAGGAAGGAAGAGAACTAAGAGGCAGAAGATCTTTTAGAACAGAGAGCGTCTAGGCATTGTTAAAATCACTGGACAGATTTTGATATGGTCTAAAAATATTTGGTATTTCTAAGGATTTGTCAAAATGCTCCTATTTTCAGCTCGCCTGGATAATCGTATATGCACATAGGAAATGTAATTTAGCATTAATTGACATGAACTTATCTGTTCAGCTTAATGAAATCTAACACTGAAAACCAAACTGGTCTGATGGCTTGGGTTCAATGTATACGAAAAAGAAATGTGTAGAGATACATATGTTAGAGAGAGATAGACGCTTGTTGGATAACGAAGCTCATCACCCAGTTTCCCGCATTGCCAGTACGTTTCACCAATTCCTTGAATTAAGATGCGTGTTGAAATTATGCGTTAGTTTATTCTCTACGCTTAAATAGTTATTCTATTTTGGACGCACATATTTTTTAATTGTGAATTCTGTCGAATATGTTTAGGATCGATTCTGCTCCATTTTAGGTCGAAATGAAAGCCGTATCTCGGACATTCGAAAGCAAGGTTTCCTCCACCATGATCTTAGATGAGCAATTTTGCAATGATTGGGAAGTATCGTCCTGCTTCAAAATGGATTTTCACCTGCGTACATGCAGACACTGATAATTTGTATTGCGTAATGTTATTTGTTACATTTTCCGACCGCTCGCTGTCGCAAAATGTAATAATAACTCAGGATGTGTTAATTTTACCACCATCGGTGGAAATGAAATGTAACTTTAAATCTAATTAAAACACCAAGTCGCATCAAAATCGGAATAATAATTCTAATCAAAATGAAAACAAAATATCAAACTAAATGTTGGAACAGACCTCCTTCTTGGGTTTGACGGTAATCTGACCTATTGTAGGAGCCTGTGCTAACGTTTTCTGGTGTAACTTATTGGCATCGCGACAGATTGCACGACCTTCTGCGTTTCCATTGCTAGGCGATGCATTAATGACCTTCGCTCGCAGCCGGCTTCTATCTCGTTCTAACAGGCGCTGATACACATTGAACTCAAGCCATCAGAAATCTTTGGTTTCCTTTGTATTATAAACCTGGATAATCGTATACATAGAAAATAAAATTTAGCATACATTAAAAGCAATTGTAAATCAGAAATTGTACAACATTTATAGATAAACTCTTTAATGTATTTTTTTTGAGCGCACTAATTAATCTGAAAAACCCATCCAGTGGACCCGGGTCCGAGGTAAACTTACAACATGCAACATATAAAAACGTTAATAGTTCAAGATTCTACACCACATTCGTTCATTTTCACTGGTGTTGTTATAGCTTTCATAAAAACTGTTCAAACGGAAACGTTCCCGTCTGACTAGACTATAATATCCAAACACTCGACCTTGCAAGTGGCCGATGAGTTTTTACCGTTGCTTTTGGAATTCTGAGAACTGTTGCTGTTGACAGGTGACAGTCTTAAAACGCGGTCCAGCTTTAAAATAATGATGTAAATGTATAGAGGGGCAGTGTGTTCTAGATAATGGTGCCAGTGTACAAGTTCAATGGATATGAGGACTCCATGATATGATCAGGTTCATATGATGGGTGCTCCTTTTCAAACCGAAAAGATAGTTGCCGATTCTTTATGTAAGGAAGAATGTAGTTTCTGAGCCATTTGTAAAAAATCTGTTGGAAGAAGGTGTTTTAGCATGAGCATTTTGTCATAAGATACTAGATCTTTTGACACAAATTGGACCAATAAGAAGGCCTCATTGAAGGTAGAACTAGTGAATTTAGTCTATTTCTGGTGAAATATCTCTCAAAATAGAGAAACATATACGATTCAATTCTCATATCAAAACAAGAACTACGTCATAAATCACTTAGTTTATCTATAACAGTAACAAGATTTTGATTTGCGTCCGGTCACTAAATTTGCGACCATAATCATGTAATGCACCAACGAAAAATAAGCATTTGCGTAATACTCGAAGCATGGCACAAGTTTGATCTAGATTGATATGACAGCCTTCTCATTGATTCAGTTTGTGACCCACGTCTTGTTTGTTCCCCGGCTTAATAAAATCGGGCCTTGGAGCCGCGAACTAAAAGCGAGAGCGTTAAATTATAATCTTAAATCGTCTGTGGTTAGGCAAACCAACATCCAGTTGAGCAAAATTAATGAACGAATTTATGAATGAAGACAGTAAGATTTCATACCGTAAGCACATCCCATCTAACAATTATCACTCCTGTTAGAGTTGGAAGAATGATTATACAGTATTCTTTACACAGCATTGTATACTGTAAGAACATTGGCAAAACCCACTTAGAACAGCTATACAAGCGGAATGGGCACACCTAATAGAACACTTCCGTCATTTAAGAGGTTGTATAAGGGCTGCAGGTAACAGTTATACAACAAAAGTGTAAGCCTCTTGCAGCCGCTATGGGACATTTGCGTCAGTGCAAGATTCAGTTTTTGTCAACTATACAACTATTCTGTTACGTGATTCTACTTTATTGCAGCCAAACTATTTCTTACGTATTGTATAGACGAAGTGAAGAATATATAACTAACACAATACAGTCATCTTGTTTACTTACATATCGGCCATTGTGAATTTCATACACAGGTATATGATAAACTTCTACACTGTGATATAGGGCTATTGAATTACTTGCACAGCAAATTTTATTGTGATTATCGTGCAAAGTAGTTACGCAATTTATGCGGGCTTCGTATTTGATTCATATTTTGATAATGATCAAAAGTATAGATTTTTAAGATGGAAAACTGAACTTATCTGCGTTAATTTTCCACAAATCCTATATTTAGACACAATTACACTAATGTTTATCACTTTGTTTCTGTAATTTCGAACTGAAACACAATTATTTAATATCAAATAGAGGAATAAATGTTTTCCCAATATGGCGGGTGATTGTGCATAATCATGGCATGGTCCACGTTGTCTTTAGTTTATTAGAATACTTTGATGTTGCCTGCAGGTGTTATACAACAATTTGACAAATGTCGGAAATGAAATACCGATAGAGTCGAATGATTTACCTAGAATTTGTACCAGATCTATATCTTCTGTTTGAACAGTTGATAAAACCTTTTTAACCAATATGCATGCCCTGTTTGTCTCAAAACATTGGTTATGGCATTTTAACAAAAATATGACAGCAGAAAGTTAGGTTATGGTGAAGTTGTATACCAACATATTTAGCATATGTACAGCCTTTAACAGTTACTAACAGCTGTATAAGTGCTTCCGTTGGGAGCAATTTGTTGGCTAAAGTAGTAAATTTGCACAGCAAAACAACAAGGCCCGGGTTTGTTTTGTAAACGTTACCATGGATGCCACAACACAACCATTTTGACTAACCTGCAAATATGCCGTACAAAATAGTTGTATATAGGTTTATGCAACAGTTAAAAATTTGTCCTATAAGGTGTTGTGTAACTATGCTATAGGCATATTTTAAACACCTCATTTTAGAGCAAATATGTTGCAGAAAGCAAATTTGCATTCCACACAACATTAAACCATCATTTTGGTGTTCAGGCAACAACAATAGAGAGCTTTTATAGCTGAACGGTTCTTTTACCAAAAGCTTACAGCACTACCTTGCTAGTTGGGATACTTGCCACAATAAACGAATGTAACAGTCGCAAATAATAGAGTCGCGTGAATTCAGTAACATAAAAATAATATATATTGAAAAAATGCGATGAAGTAGGTTGATCTTGCACTTACCCGTTATCCCCTTTTGATAAAAAGGTATCTACGAACATGTATGTATAACACTGAAATTCAGTGAGTCAGGTCAGTCAAATAGGTCATTATAACGGAGTTCAGATCCTGCCCCCTTCCTTGAATACTTGTCTACCTCCAAAAATTTGCGGACTTAGTATAGCTTTTTTACTATATGCAAAAAGTTTCCCGTTGCCATTGTGCAATCGGCCACCCTGGGAAAAAATTCCTACGGGTGCCCATGTCTGAGAGCGAGCCTTCAAGCCGATGCGCTAAAGGTCGACGCGACTCTACCACACACAGAACCCACACCCGGCCTTTTGCGGCTCGTTGAGCAAGCGCTTACATATATATCTGCAAAAAAATATATACACCCTCTCTCAGCCTCTGCAAACAGGTCCCATCCTGAATTTTTTACCCCTAAGAAATTTTATACGGTTTTTACTTTTCCCATTTTTTGACCGTAACTCCGCCGCCACTGGATCAATTCCTAAGACCTACAAGGCATTGGCACAGCAGTAACCTTGTGCATTTAGTCATACTCCCAGCAATACTTTCTGAGATATTAAGAAGCCAAGCATTATCGGACGAACAGACAGACGGAAATAAATCACATGTTTTTTCTTGGTGTATACCATAACATCCAAAAGACATGATATTGCAATTTCGAAATTATTCACGATTACATTACTTCCTCGTCAATTTTAAAGAAAGATAAAAACCATCGCACAATATCAGGATGTTAAGCGGATTGTTTGCCTTCATGTATTTTAGATTTCGTGGCCTACCGCTCTTATAACATACTTCTTTCGTTTGCGAGTTTTATGTCAAAATACTTACTTTGGCGCATTCTACTCAAGCCTCCGTGAGGACAAAAAAATATTCCTTGTCTATTCAACCATTTTCATAGAATAGGGTTAACTAACTAACTAAACTGACATTTTATCTCAAAATCATAACGACAATGACCTTTCTGGGGTCGATAAGTGACTGTAATATACCTTGTTAATAAACATATAAACATTTCGAAAAAATGCCTGTGCCGACGGTGTTGCTTATATTATTAGACATTTTCGTGGAGGAATAAAATATACTAAGAACTTGAATACATGCTGCGTGTACTAGCTATATAATGCTGATAATCAGACTGTGCTTTATAATCCATAAAATATCGTTCAGTTTCACATGCAAGGTTTGGGGTTATAGGTTCGTGCAGAAAATAAATGATACTGAAGGGCTCAATACTATTTGTTTACGCAATTAATGCCATCGAGTATCTACTCTTTCTTAATAAGATAATTCTGTCACTTTATATTTCGCTCTACGATTCAATTCATATGTTTGTTGAGTATACTTGAGCTGCAAAAAGTGCTCCGGGCATGTTTTTGGTTCTGTTTACGTTCAAGGGAGAATAATAGCCTATTTTGTTTGCTTACCGTTCAACAATCTTTGAGGCCGAACTTGTATACCGGCATCACTAGTACTGTACATATGGATGCAAGCCCATCAGAATTTATATAAAATATTTTTGTATAGTGTCTAGAAGAATGAAACCTAGTGTGATATTTGTACTTTAAATGTCCATATATTATAGTAAAAGTAGAAGATGTGACGCGTACATAGTTTGGTAGCATTGTAGTATTCAAATAATATACTTCAAGCAGGAACCAGCTATTCAAAGCACATTGTTTTGCCTTTTAGAGTAGAAGTTTCTAAGCATAATTGTTATTTGCGAACAAGGGCATAGTACGAGGGTCTGTAAACTAAGTGACGAGACTAAGTTTTTTCAATCGAATACAATTACAATTTTATATTTTCTCCGATCCTCGAGGCAGTGCTGGAACTCCGATACTTGGATATACTTCAGTTGATACAGCCGCTTGAATGTTTTCGACTGTCGTAAAATAACTTCTCTTGGGGTAATTTTTCAACGTCGGGAAGAGAAAAAAGTCACAAAGACACAACTCAGGCGAATAAGGACGCTTAGGAACCACAGGAACGTTTTTACTAGCCAAAAACTCGTTTATTGACAAAGCTGTGTGACAAGGAGCATTATCGTTGTTGTTGATTTGATGAATGATGGTGTGAGTCAATGCTAACTCCTCTTCGATCATTCTGACTGTCAACCGACGATCTGAACTCACAGGATCCCAGGTTCTGTCGATATCTTCATCGGTTCTTGAAGATGAATGCCTTCCGCTTCATGGCTCATCTTCAATCGGCTCTCTCCCTTCTGGGACTGCTTCAAACCATCGAAAAACCTGGGCTCCTAACATAAAACTATCTCCGTTGACCTGCTGAAGTTTAGCAAGATTTCCGTTGCACTGTGATCTAGTCTGAAGCAAAGCCTGATAGCACAAAATAGGAAGAACTTGTACAGACGGTGGATCACATGTTTGCCCGTGTCCCCTGCATGTGCCTCCAGTGTTGCCAGATCGAATGCTACGTTGCCAGTCTGATCACTTGATTTACAGACCTCGTTTACTATGATGCAGGACTCAGCAGTTATAAATCTTAGGGGCTACAAACTTTTCATTTTTAAATGTACATGGTTATTATAAAATGACATAGGGTTGGCGAACAAAGTTTTGATTTCTAATAATCACACGTAGCAAACTATCTGTATAAGCGTTTGTTAAATTATTGATAAATTAGTTGATCCTTTCGCAATGAAAAAGTATGTGCACAGCTTCAGTACTCGTATCATCCGTAGAACTTCCTAATCTTCCTCCAAAAATGTTTGATTTCAAGTTCAAATTGATAACTCCAACAATATGCTCTAGCCACTTATAACTGTTGTATCTTGATCGTGAGCTTACCATGACTCAACAATGTTGTTTTAGATCTGCTGGCTCATACACTTATCCAGGTGATTATCTTATTCACAACTTTATTTACCAACTCACAGCAGTTTGTTCTATCCGCGTACCCTGAAAAAGCTTAGAGTGTCTGAAATTTTTAGAAACCGTATTCGTTTTTCTCACCTATGTTCGAAAGTGGATATCACATTCTCGAGAAGAGATGATAGGTAAGTCATATAGTACCTAAATAGTGATATAAAAGACATCATGTTCAACATCAAATCTAAAGCTCTACGCTAACTGCAAGCGAGTGTCCATAACTTATGACGTATATAAGTCCAAATTCTGTATTTGCTAAGCAAAGTTTGTATGTAATGACATAGAGTTAGTTTGCCCACGTTGCGAAATGCTCCTAGCAGTCCTAGCGTACAGCAACTTTTACGCCAATGCATATCAAAATTGTGGCAGTAGCTCAAGTTATTTGCTAGTTTAGCGTTATACACAGCCGCAATATACAGTAAAAGCTAGGTGATATTTATAACGTAAAGACCAGTGCTTCAGCGCTGTTATATCGATTTCAAATTTCCTCCTTGTAAATGAAAATTCGTATCACGTTATGATGTAGTTTGCTTGGTAATAATGAACTTCTATAAATACCTGTTGGTATCCAGAGATTAATTTTTGTATGGATTTGTTCCTTATCATAGATTTTTTTTTCATTTGGGTCTTGTCACACTTTGTTTATACTTAGATGTCTTATTTACGAGGTTCGATCCCCATAGCTCCGCCCCTGGAGGTCTATTTGATTAATGTTGCTGGCAGCAATACAAGTGACCTTAGTAGGCTATGTTGCCAAAAAATTAAAATTATCTCAAACTGCCATAACAAAATACCTGCAAGTACAGCACCCGCTTGAAGACAATAAAATACTGTGGTGTCTGTTAGAGGGTGCACAGGTGTCGAAATTTCATGTGTGGAAAGACATCATGTGAAAACCAACCATGCAGTGGGCCATCTATAAAGGTATCGGCTAACAAATATTGTAACGCTCTCGTAACTCGGGCATTGAGTAACGATGGAACGCACTCGCAATATCGACGCTTAGGCAACCGCGTTTCAAGAGGGGTATAACTTACAGCCAGGATGGGTGTTTATGTAAGCGTCGGAAGCGTACGACACCCATCGAGAAGGATCTACGGCCATCGAGAAGCATCAATCGACATCTAGAGGACTTCCATAAAGCGCGAGAATTCATATATTGAAGTTAAATACCCAACCAGATGGCGGAAGCAGTCAATCATAGTCGAGTAGACCACAGCGAGCGATGAGCCACCAGACAACGCGATAGTGCAAAATTAGACTTTGAACAGTAAGGACGATGTTTTCGTTACACTATTAAGGCCCGTATCGTCAGTCGTCCCTACAATTGTAGGGCGCGTTTATGGCCTCCTTGATTGTCATACTCCTTTCTCTCCTTCAAAAATTTCTAGATTACACTTGTCCCGTGTCAGCGTCAGCGCTCTCCTATTGTGAAGATATGTTTTCTTTTTAAATTGTAGGAAATTTCATGCTGATAAAACATGATATAACTCAAAAGCAAGCACAATTTTGATGCAAATAGATGTTTGTGACATAACCTCAAAATAGAATTCTGACACGGAGAAGTAGAAAACTATGACAATCAAGGAGGCCATAAAGGCGCCCTACAATTGTAGGGACGACTGACGATACCGGCCTAAAACAGTGCATGATATGGTGTATGAATGTGTAGCATTCCAGGCAGCTGTTATGCAAACATAATTTCAAAATTGCAAGACGCTTCTAAAAGGAACGTCGGAAGAGGTTACCAAGTGGTGCTCTATTTTATCAGGACAATGCCCTCGGCTATACCTGCAGTATTCACATGGATACTTTGTGTCTAGCAGGCCAAAATCAAAGCAGTGCACATAATTTTCAAGTAAGCAGCAGGTACTGAGGATGCAATTGAAATGTTGGACCACTTGCTACACAAAATCATTGGAGATCAAGTAGAAAAAAAGCGTAGTGAAATTAAATATAGTTTTATTGCAGGGAAGTCAGGGGTGGAGCATGGGCATCAGCTTCCGTAATTCACACTTTCAGATTTTAGATCTTGGTGCTTTCATATAGGGCAGACAACGTACTGGCATTAGAAGTCATTCGCAAACTTAGAAACTCGTTAGATCAAGGCAAGGCAAGGACGTGCACGTAGTCCAAGTAATATCAATCAACAAATACTTCCAAGGAAACTACTTTTTCGGCCTGCTAGATCTACTTATAAAATGTTGATGACTTCTCCCGCACAAGCTTACTTTCCTGCAAAAATAGAATAATGAAAACAACCATCAAACATTCTCATATTACGTACTTCTTTAGTACTGCTCTGTACAAGAAGTTCGGGCTACTCCACTTTAGATAGTACAGACAACTTTGTAAATGGATATTCCGTACCAATTTTTTGAAGCATGAAAGTATACAGTCAACATCGAACGCAAATACTGTTCTATATACAAGATGTAGATATTTAAGATTATACCATATACTATGATTAAATATATATAAAAATATATACAACTATCAGTATAGAGAAGAATATGTATGTATACAAAGAATATATTATATGATTGAATGAGGCTAATGTTTTAAAGCTGCTTAGAATCAAAATAGGGCCAAGTTCATATTTCAGAGAATACGGTTACAGCGGCATGTGAGAAGCTGCATATTTTGATTTTGTCGTGAGATGAGTAATACGAAAAGCGTGAAACGACCATCTTTAACGTCATAATCATGATCAAAAACATTTCAATTGTTTCAAAATATTATGGATAACTTTCGATGACAATATTTTTGTAAAAACTTCTTTCAACTGTGTCACTACTATTTTCAATTGAGCAAGAATCATATTACTTTCCTAGGCACCATTTTATTCTTTGTCAAATTCTGGGACAGAGCGATACGCTGCAATATTTCTTTGAAATGAAAATGTAAGCCTTGAAATGTGTTGATTTTTTCTGTAGAGACTCTGCTTTTGAATGAAACTATTTTGTCTTCCCAACAATTAGTTTTTTGAGGCATATTTAGTACTTTCTAGGATTAGAAGTGTTTTATAGATTGACATATCAAGTACATGGAGAAGAAAGAGTAAAGAAAATAAATGTAGTTAGTTATGTGTCCTAACATAAACCTTATATTAGTATGAAAAGAAGCTAAGCATGATCTGCTGGTCCCATCAACTTGCTGCTTGTTTTAGTTTGTTCAACTTTCAGTGTTTCTCAATACCAAAAATAGTATCATTATTGATATATCACTTCTGTTACGAAGCCTTAATCATTAAGTTAGCTCATATTTGCTAAGTAGGTGTTTTTGTATTGTTCCGGGTACAAAATTAAAAATTCTCTATGTTGTTCAACGAATTCTGGTTAAATTTTGGAAGCATTGTCTCTGCATCTTTTTGTACATTCCTGTGATAATAATTTGTGAAACTTAGAGCTTTTTTTGGACTTCAAAGGATTATATATGAATTATTTATAATTTAATAAATCAATGGTCAAATTATCGCAGTTTTTTCATATCTGCCCCAAAAAAAAAATAACTCCCTCACACCTCTAGGTCAATTATTTAGAACGTACGTACCTCTTCTGATTGTATACCCTCGACATTACTACCTGAAATCAAATAAAGGATGATTTTTGTTAACTGTTTCCTATGCTTGTTCTAGAACTCAAATTTATATCCTAGATCGCAGCGTGAGGTCAATATTTTTATTGTTCAAATCCCTTTATACCACAATTCAACATGATTTTTCTGGAAAAATCTATTTTTCGTACATTATTTTCGTCCTTGTTTTGTGATATTGCAGAGCGTTCTGCTGTGGATACCAAAATATCTTCAGGAATAGTGTAGTAAAGGCAAGGCGTAGGACTAAAGTGAGGTTTTTCATTAACTCATTACTACTGATGTATACACCTTGTTGAACTCATGCCAATATAACGCAAATATGCCATCTTTGGATTTATTGATATATTGCTAACATGTGATTGATTATATATAAGACAAGCAAAACCATGAGTGTCATTATACAGGGTGACTTTGAAGTTGAGTCATTAATTTTCAGATAATGATTGTAGAAGGAAGATAAACCAAAATATGTGTGTAAAAATAAAAAAAAAATTAAAAAAAAATGTTACCTTGTTTTATAAAGTATCCTCCCGACAAGTATTTCAGTGCGGACCTGTATTTGATCGTGCGGTCTTGGAGCACCGGCATGCCCTCCCCTGTGAGGTCTTAAGTCACCTGATTCACTCGATTGGGAAACCGATCCGCATAAATCCGTGATGCCGCGTAAATAAGAATCATGTCCACAAGTTCAGCATTTTCGTAAACATTTGCCATTTTTGATTTCGTTTGAGCCACGCAACAGACACCACTATTCACTCACGCGTTACCGACTGACACTGACTGTATATAACTGAATAAAATAATTGTAAAAGCATTGTTCCAAATTCTTTCGCTTTTTTGTTTCCGATGCGATGAACCGATAAGGCGGATTATATCCGTTGTTGCCAAACACGAGCACATCATATTATTATTGAGACAGGGCGGTACTCAAACCTCCAAAGGGCTATAACTTTGTTACTTTAATTTTACCAGAAAAATGGTAAAGGAAAAAAACATTTCTTTTGATCAGATCTACTCACTGTTAAAATAAATGACTCAACTTTGAAATCCCCCTGTATTTGAATTTGGAGCTCCGGGGGTGCCATGAGAGGAATAGTATGATAAAGTCAACTTCCCGATATGGTAAAGAGACAAATGATGGTATTGATACAACAGGACCTAAAGTAGGCCACACGTGCAGGTTGTGCAAGCTTCGGGTAGATAGTCTGACCTCTAGATCCTGGTGGATGGAGCATCGATCTGCTAACATACCGGCTCAAAAACTTGCGGGTTCGGACCAAGGATGTGTTGTTTTTTGTTCATATACTCGTATGTACACAATGGATCGTTGCAAAATCAAATAAGAACACCGCATCACTGGAGATGGTTTATTCAATAATCAGTTAGAGGTAGATAATCATGTGGAGTTTTGATTCTATATTTATTTAGTCATGTTGTTTGTTCTCTTTGTATATTGAGTAAATATTATTATTATTATTTTTTTTTTCATGCTCATAGTCCTCACGTATGGTGGTGTACTATCTTTGAGGGGGAGTTCACCCCAACCAAGGATAATTTTTACAGAGACAGTGCCTTTCTCACAATATGACACGTTTGTAAGATAACGGCTTTTTGGAATAGTATGTGAAGGCCGTTTGGAAGGTCCAAGGTCTTTAAGCTTGAGGAGACTTGTTTGGTAACAGCCCCTTCCACGGAGATAACAATGGGTACAATCTGCACTTCCCTTAGCTTCCAAATCCTCTTCATTTCAATAGCCAGGTTCTGGTATTTAACAGATTTTTCACGCTCTACCTTGAGGATGTTGTGTGTAAGCGGAATTCCAACCTCAATTATCTGTGCATATTGGTTGCTTTTGTCTATCAGGACAATATCGGGACGGTTAAAGTCTACAGTTTTGTCGGTTAGAAATGGCCGATCCCAATAGAGTATTACATCTTTTGATTCCAGAACTGGCTCAGGCGTGTACTTGTAATATGGCGGAGGAGATTGTAAGCTATAGATTAATAAAGTATAAAGAGTTCTCTTTGCTTGAATTTGACGAAGTACCCAACAAAAGGCGGAAGCTTTATTTTTCACCTTACTAGTCTAAACGACAATGACCACGTCTCAAGTTATATATATATATATATATATATAATATATATATATATATTTACATCTCCATGTGGATCGGTAATCCTTTCAATTCCCAGCAATAAGTCACCTACCAGAAATATCGAATATATATCAAATTTGATTCGTGTATATCCAACAAAAAGGCAAACTGATCCAGGATCAGCTCAAAAAACTGTACATTAACATTTCGGATTTTCATATAAAGTCCGCTATATAGGTCTACCTTTTAAAAACCGTAAGATGTGTCCTCTACCGGAATACCCTTCAGATCACAAAACGGCATTCGGTCCCCCAGAATACTCAAATTAACTAAACACCAGTAGATAAGTCATCCGTGCAGTGGTGCCAAGTTTCATTTATTTCTCTTTACATAATACTACTGAAGTCTCCTAACTTGGACTTGTATTATTATATTATTTTTCAAGGATCTCCAATGGATATAACCAAAATTCTTTCCAGCAACTTTGAGTACACTATTTGCTCGATTAAGACTATACAAAACGTTGCTAGCATACGACAGAAGGATGCCCAACGTTTCGTAAATTATAACTTACCTATGCAAAAATTATCAGATCATCGAGCAGCCCACACAATCAAGAATACTTTTTTCTATTACATGTCCAGGAGGTTGTATGAACTTTCAGATCGAGCACTTTGCTTTTCCAATAGCCTATGTCGTATCGACGACATCCTAATGATGATAAGCTTTAGACGCGTAATTTCCAAATCTGTGATATTAGCAGTTGAAATACTTCCCTGCCCTCCGGTTCGCAAAAAACAGCATTGAGTATCCTAAAATACTTGAATTACCTAATCACTATACTGAGCCTTACAATCATGTGACGTTATCTTTGGATAAGGAAATCACCATTCATGTTTGGTACCATCTATCTATGAGAATATTCCTAATCTTGAAATAAAATCGTATATCAACGATTTTCTCTAATAGCTCAGACTTAACCATATAGTCACGCCAACCAAAAGCCATATGATACAATCGTCCATCAAAATACCTTCGGATTCACAAAAAAACAGCACTGAGTCTCCCAAAATACTTGAATTTACTAAACCCTGCTAGATCGGTCTTCCGTGCAGAATAAATACACTTCTACCCTACGATTCACAAGAAACCAGCACTGAGTCTCCCAAAATACTTGAATTTACTAAACACTGCTAGATCGGTCTTCCATGCAGAATACTCTTCTACCATACGATTCACAAGAAACCAGCACTGAGTCTCCCAAAATACTCGAATTAACTAAACACTGGTGGATCAATCTCCCATGAAGAATACTCTTCAATACGCAAACCAGTGCTGAGTCCTCCACAATACCCGAACTAGCTGAATGGCGTACGTCTGACGTCAGATCGGTCTCCCGATCATTTTAATTCCAGTCAATAAAGCGCGTGCGCCCGGGGATAGGGTTTGTCGGTTTGTCTAAGATCTGAGAATTCATTTTATTGGCACCAATCGTGCTGGAAGGACGTTCAAATCTGTTGTGTATTCAAGAGTGTGTCTGAAAGGACTGTTGAGGTAAGTATGACTTTTTGAACTCTTATGCAATCGTTAATAGGATATGATGGTAATATGACTGTATTACTTACATTTAATGGAAAAGCAATGAATATTGAGTAGCGTGAAGGATAAAACAATGCTGTTCAAAAGGTCAACCCCCATAAATTTTACGCCAAACTTTATCTAATCTTGTTGGTTTAGTTTTGTATAGGTGATTCTTGAATGTAAAGCTACAATGTTTTTTTTTTCAAGTTAAAGAACAGGGTCAAGTAGATTGAGTGTGACCATACATCACTGAAAATTTAAAAATAGAATACTTCAATCAAAGCTCATTTTGGCTTTTTTCTAGCTGCTGCTTTACATCTTTTTTAGGGTACATACCTGTATATGTACTGATTCCGTTTTTTGCATTATAATACAAAATCACTACAGACTGTGCTTTTGACTCACGGTGTCAAGTAGCTCGACTTTATATGTAGACAATGATAATTTTAAACGGGAGATTGTGTTGATTATTTCCTATATGGTACAGTAGCGGGGTGATAAAATTCTAAATCTAAAATTGCAAATCAGAGATATCATGTTTTACTTCCCACGTCAACGGTCGAGGAAGTATTGTAATCGCAAGATATTTTGAAAGTGAGGTATTATGTTTTGTTGGATGCTATATGACATGTAGATCACGGAAAACCATGATACTCATTTCTGCTATAACGTGGAAAGTACCATTGGGACTTTGATGAAATTTAGACACAAGGTTGCTACGAGGCTATGGACAAGAAAGCTTTAGCTTTTAAAAATAGGTCCAGTGGCGTCAGAGAAAAGGGCCACAAACGAAAAAATAGAAATCGCTCAAACTTTGTTTTTTGACGATTCAGGGGCTCTTGATCATTATCCAAATAAATTTTGAGGGTTAGGAGTTGATGAGGGAGTGAATCGTAATTTCCTAAGGTTTTCTATCGGATCTATTTGACATATCTGACTTTATCAAACATTTGCGTAGAAAACAGGAAATCATACCTATTTCCTGTATCTGTACACTCAAAAATTTCTAGTGTTAATGCATGGATATAGTGTTTAATGATAACACATTACGTATTATTGAGTTTGGTAAAATTTCGAACATCATTCACTGGTATTGCTACTAGAATCAATTAAAAATAAAGTATTTTACTTTGACAATCAACATATACTATTGCTGCACGGAAAAAAATGGCTTGTGGATGTCAGTTCATTGGGAAAAAAGCTAATGACAAAAATTACTCTAATATAATTGGCTTTTTGACATTTTTGAGAGCACTCTTATCAAATATCTTTTCACTAAAAACAAGCATGTTGTATTCTTCCTGAAGATAGTCGATATTGTATATCTATTATTTTTTGGAATGGTATTATTTCTCTAAGTTGAAACGGAATAATTACAAAACAATATATTTGAACTTTTCCAGGGAAAGCCTTTCAATATGAGCAAAAATTGGTTTTGTAACAGAGGTCTATCACCTATCACACAGCATCCAAGAGATGAAGAAAAAGATAAGACTTCTGAAACAGTGATTACTGATTCACGTAAGGTGTCATCTGTGGTTAAACAAAACAGCGACCACAGTGACTGCAACTCGGTAAAACATAAGTATGTTTTTTTTGGTAGAGTTCCCATATTTATGATTTATTCTAGGTAATATCTTCTACATCCCCCAAGATATGCTGTACACCCCCATCATCATCAATATCCGGTTTATCAGAAAATGTTCATTGCAGTAACTTGTGCAAGGACTCTGAGGTAATAATCATTCACTGCCTAGTCTGTGAACTTTTTTATTCTATTGAACCTTTTTCAGTACAACGTTACCTCGAATAACGAGAGCATAGTGGAAGATCCAGACCACCAAAGTGAATCTAGCTCGGTAAAGCAATATTATGTATTCTTTATGAAACATGTCTGATATATGTCATTCATTTCAGTTCATATCTCTTACTTCGCCTAATATATGCTGCACACCACCATCATCTTCTGTAATTTCTGATGCAGAAGATGAAGATTATAGTCCCCACACTAGTGAAGAGGCTGAGGTAAATATATTACTATTATTCTACTCAAGTACCCATTGAAAAATTTGGATTGGGTGGAGTTGTGTAGCCAATCCGATATTTTAATTTTGTAATTTTACAATTTTAATATTTTTCAACTTTCAAATTTTTTGATTTTTCGACTTTCCAATTAATAACTATAACATCTTTTCCATCAAAACGTTGCTATGTGAGGGGAATCTATGATGTTTAGAATGTGTCAAATAGATTGCGAAGAATTACTAGGGATGGAAGTGTATCATTAAACTAAATAAAAAAGAGATATACCCGTCCCACCCTCTACAACCTCCAACTCGCTAATTTTCCACCACAAATTTTTTTCTCAAAAATGATCAGTATCTGAAACAATAAAAAACGAAGTTTATGAGATTTCTTTTTTTGTTTTTAACTTTTTCTCCGCCGGCACTGGAACGCTCTTAAAAACTATATAGGTAGCTTTTCTGTCCCTGGTCTAGTGGTAACCTTCCCCCTCAAGTAATCAAGGACTCGACACAGCAGCAGAGCGGCGGACAGACTGACGGAAATGAGTGATCTACATGTCATATAACATGAAAATACTTTAGAATACTTCCTTGTCAGTTTTCTGATCTTCAGTCCAAGGAACAAGAACCGGTCTTTTTCTTCGGTAACGTTTCATCCACTTGTTGAGATTCCGAATCTGGATGCGGTTCTTGGATTTCTTCATATTGATATAGAGGCTCTGGGTGGTCATTATCCTGCTGCGCTTCTGATATCAAATTCTCGTCCAGATTCAATTCAATTTTTTCTAGGGATTTTTCTTTGAAATGACCTGCCTCGCCCTTGTCTATCAACGTCAAAATCTTGGAGAGTCTAGCCGTTTGGTAGACATCATCTGGTAATCGGTATCATGCACGGTGGATACCTAGTGTATGTCCCATAAAAGATGCGAGTTGTTCCACGTCATTTTCTGACATGTTTAACAATTGGGTCAAAGTTGCTATGACCTTTCTCAGACGGGTGCTAGTCAGGGCATGCGGATTTGTAACCGATGATAGGTTCTTATGAATTGGGTTTACCGAAAAGATTTATGTTCGACACCGTCTGAATATTATCTTTACACTCTAGTTTTAGATTCAAGTGCTCATGTACATCCTTGCTTATAAGAACTGGAACACCTCTGCCTCTTTTTCCACGAATTTCCATTCGTTTGTTAGATCTCATTAGAATTCTCTCGGTTTCCGTTATTGCTTCCGAAAACTCCTTATAGGCTTGATTGTGTTCGTCAGATATAGCGGATTTGTAAACATTTATGGGAAGTCGTTGTAGTTTTCCAGGCCGCCTCCTCTTTAATGAAAGCATCCTACATTAAACTGTCTCCAGTCAAGACGTGCATGCTTTTTCATTACCTGAACTTTTTGTAGCACTGACACCTGATTTGCAGCTACTTTCATAAGATAATCCTTCAATAGTTTAAGATCACTAGCTAATGGAACCAATGTTTGCATTATCTACTGTTGGCAGTGACTCAGATTTTTTTCAAAACGTGTAAAAGAGCCACACCGCAACATTTTTTCAAGGTTGTACCCATGTTCATAGCATATGTCGGGGATCTATAAGCTTGGCTTTCATCATCATATCCTGATGTTAACTTAGTTGCTTTCACAAGTATGTCATATCTATGTGTTTTTATAGCAATCAATAGGGTAATCACAGACAAATCTAATTCCATTAGAAGTCAAGCCACTTCTCCCATTTTCCTAGAAACGACTTGGACAAATTGTAGTTCCCTGTGAAGTTTCAGATATCAGCAAGCATGCGCACATATTATCATCTTTTGCAACTTGAAACTTTGTCAGGTCTCATGCGATGAAATGCTTTTGCTTTGAGCTCATTATCTACCTTTATATTATTCAATAACAAAGTTTGTCCTAAAGTCTGTGATCGTTTGCCCGACGATCCCTTCTCCGGGTTTGCATCACATTGTTTGCGATGACGCCATAAGTTCTTGGCAAAATAGTAACCCATATAGTGGATGCATGATTCCGTTTTTCCACACCTTTTCTAACAGGTTTTACCCCCTCGACCTCCGAAGGCGATAAAATTATGATTTTTCCTTAGAGCAAAAAGCAGTTGTTGCCTTTTACGGATCAAAACAGGTAAATGTAGATATTCAAAAAAACGTTCAAAAAACTTCGTATTTGACGTTTCAGAGAATCCCGATCATTTTCAAAAACATTTTTGGAGGGATTAAAAACTCTTTCGTCTCTGGCCTTCTCTCACTTGCCAAACAACAAGCGACAAAGCTTATCTCTGAGCGAAGTTTTTACTGTAAAAATAGATTTTATTATACCTATTTGAAAAAATGGTGTCAAGTAGGTTGACTCTATACGTCCTACCCCTTAGAGACAGCTTTTAGTGCAATTTTCAATATAGTGCAATCGAGTCTATAAATTTGCTTTCAAAAATGACGGTTACAATCTGAATTTGAAGTTCAGTATAAAGGAGTGATTTTGATGCCCTTAAATATCACCTAAACCTTAGATATCATCTATAAGTAAAAACTTTGAATTCAAATTGTAACCACTATTTTTGACAGCAGATTAATAGATTCAATTGCACTATATTGGAAATTGCACTAAGAGCCATCTTGAAGGCGTAGGAAGTATAGAGTCAGCCTGCTTGATGCCATTTTTCCAAATAGGTATAATAAAATCTATTTTTACTGGAACAACTTTGCTCAGGATAAGGTTCTCCGCTTATTGCTTGGCAAGTGAGAGAAGGCCAGAGACGAAAGAGGGAAATGTGGTTGAAAAACAATGGTCATTCCTTAGCATAGACGGCATGATATTTTATGAATTGATCAATGAAACAACATACAAAATTGAACGTCAATACTAACACTATTCACTGAACATTTCATTTGATACGCCTCCAATGATAAGTATAAGTACTGTCCACCTGTCGCGATGCTTATGCATTTATTGTATTTATATTTATTTTTCTTTTGAAAGGACGAGGAACTGGACAGGAGCGATGAGGCCAGAGACAACTTACATTCGGCAAGTGTCAAGAAGAATGTTACTATACATGCAAAAGCTGAATCAATTCCCACCGCAGAATGTGATCAGTCTGCACCCAGTCAGTCTGGTTCTTCATCAGTGAATACTGGACTGTCAGGAAAGAAGAAAAAAGTTACAGTTTTCTGTTGTTTTTGTGAATGTGAGGTTTTTCATTTTCCACGTCATTTGAAAAGAAACCATACGAATGAAATTGAGGTACAAGAATTTCTAGCTTTACCTGTTTTAAGCCGTAAAAGGCAACAACTGCTTTTTGCTCTAAGGAAAAAGGGTAAATTTATCAACTCTACGCCTTTGAGGGGAGAGGGGATAAAACCTGTTAGAAAAGGTGCGGAAAAAACGGAATATCTTCCATGCATCCACTGTATGGGTTACTATTCTGCAAAGAACTTATGGCGTCATCGCAAACAATGTGATGCAAACCCGGAGAAGGGATCGTCGGGCAAACGATCACAGGCTTTAGGACAAACTCTGTTATTGGGTAATATAAAGGTAGATATTGAGCTCAAAGTAAAAGTATTTCCTCGCATGAGACCTGACAAAGTTTCATTGGTTGCGAAAAATGATAAATTAATATGTGCGTTTGCTTCCCGATATCTGAAACTCCATAGGGAGCTACATTTTGTCCAAGTCGTTTCTAGGAAAATGAGAGAATTGGCTCGACTTCTAATGGAGATAAAAAAATTAGATTTGTCTGTGGTTACCCTATTTGATGCTCTAAAACCACACAAATATGACATACTTGTGAAAGCAACTAAATTAACATCAGGATATGATGACGAAAGCCAAACTTATAAATCCCCCACATATGCTATGAACATGGGTACAACCTTAAAACAATGTTGCGATGTGGCTCTTTTACACGTTCTAAAAAAATCTAAGTCACTGCCAACAGTAGATAATGCAAACGTTGAGGCAGATATAAAAACATGCATCCAACTCATAGAGGCAAATTGGCGATTCGATATTTCAACCAATGCTGCTAATGACCTCAACCTAAAAAAATGGAATAAGGTCACTTTGGTACCGTTAGCTACTGATCTCAAACTATTGAAGGATTACCTCATGAAAGTAGCTGCAAATCAGGTATCAATGCTACAAAAAAATCCAAGCAATGAAAAAGCATACACGTCTTTACTCGAGACAGTTTATTGTAGGTTGCTTTTATTAAATAGGAGGCGGCCTGGAGAACTACAACGACTTCCCATACATGTTTACAAATCCGCTATATCTGAGGAACACAATCAAGCCTATGAGGAGTTTTCAGAAGCAATAACAGAAACCGAGAGAATTCTAATGAGATCTTTCAAACGAATAGTAATCCGTGGAAAAAGAGGCAGAGGTGTTCCAGTTCTTATAAGCAAGGATGTACAGGATCACTTGAATCTAATACTAGAGTGTAGAGATAATATTCAGACGGTGTCGAACATATATCTTTTCGGTAAACCTAACTCCCAAGAACCCATTATTGGTTACAAGGTAATCAAAAAGTATGCGTCGTTATGTCAAGCGAAAAATCCGCATGCTCTGACTAGCACCCGTCTGAGAAAGCACTTGGCAACCTTGACTCAATTGTTCAACATGTCAGAAAATGACATGGAACAACTCGCATCTTTTATGGGACATACACTAGGTATCCACCGTGCATCATACCGATTACCAGATGACGTCTACCAAACGGCTAGACTCTCCAAGATTTTGACGTTGATGGAGAAGGGCGAGGCAGGTCATTTCAAAGGAAAATCCCTGGACGAAATTAATTTGAATCTAGACGAGAATTTGATATCAGAAGCGCAGCAGGATGATAACCACCCAGAGCCTCTATGCCAATATGAAGATATCCAAGAACCGCATCCAGATCCGGAATCTCAGCAAGTGGATATAACGTTACCAAAGAAAAAGTCCAGGGTTCTAGTTCCTTGGACTGAAGATCAGAAAAATTTAGTCTTGGTTCACTTTGGAAATCACATTAAATCTAAGAGGGCCCCAAAAAAGGCTGAATGCGATAACCTCATCGCAAGTCATACTGAATTATTACATAATAAGGACTGGCTAAAAATCAAAGTTTTCATCCAGAACCAGTACCGAAAGAAAAAATGAATACCATCTCAATTTATGAGCGAACCCGTTTTTTTAATAAAGTAGAAATTAAGTATGAACATATGTATCACAAACTAAGTATAAGCATTTTTTAGTAGTTTCATTTTGTCAATGTATAAATTCAGTTTTCTTCTTATGTATTTTCGTAAATAAAATTCATACCGATATTATTTGCGTTTATCCTTCGCTCCTATAACCGCGTGGTTGTCAAAGCACAAAATGTTGAAAAATGTAGGTCATTGTCCGAAAGCGAAGTTTATGCAATTTTCTCTTCGTTTGTTGACCACTCTGCAACCACTGCAGCTAAAGCGAATTTTTTGTGATTACATTAATTCCCTGCCAATAGGCGCGGTAAGTAAAAGCATATTTTTTAAATTGTAAAACTAGGATTAGCATATTTGTTTTTATTTTATTCTATAGGAAATTGGATTTGAGCATCACCTTTATCATATTTGAGAGTGTTTTTTTGTGAACATTTTTCCTTAATACTACACCATCCTTGATTTTCTATTCATGTGGTTGTATTTGCATAATGGTCTATCTATATTACCCTTTTTAATTTAGCTTGAGTAGCTTTACGCTAAACTTTGCTCTTTGTTCATATAATCATGTATTGTACACATCGTGACCCAATATTCCATGGACGTGAGATTACTAGTTATTTTCAGACTGAGAACAAGTCGATTGCACATAAGTTATCTGTATTCGAAGGTGCTTCGTTAGGGGGCATCAAAGTTTTCTTTTAAAAACACGTTTTCCAAGATATTTCAAAAGCCGGTAAGTCGATTTTAATGAAATTTGGAACACATATGCTCTGCTCAGCGTTCTAATATTTGCCTTTTACGAAAAACTCCAGAGCTTTTTGGAAGGGTGAAAACTACCCCCACACCTACATAAATTGTAGCAGAATTTTTCCCAACTTTCCTCATGACCGATTTTTTTATTTATTCCATCCTTTGTCTCTCATTAAAACGAGATATCTTTCATAGTTTTCGAGAAAAAAAAACCTTTTTTGGGGCTGGTTTCTAAAAAAATGTTTTAACACATCAAGCGTAAAAATCTAGTTGGCAAATAAACGAAGCACTTTTGCATAGAGGTGACTTATGTCAAATCGACTTGTTATGAGTCTAAAACCTGATTGGAAAAACATTTTTTTCCGAAAACTAGTAATAATAATCGTAATCATAATCATAATCACAACCATAATCGTAATCATAATTATATTAATAATGATAGTAATCGAACAAATATATTATTGCTGCATTACGGTACTCTCGGTCACGGACGCCCCTATTATAATGCCTGACGGCGAACTGGGCCGCACCAGA